TTTGTCCGCCTCCGCCGGTCCTCTGGCCCACTGTGGGCCGCCGGGGTCGCCAGGCTTGACAAAAGACGCTTTCACGCCGAGTAATTGATTGACCTTAATTAAGACGGCGGGGCGACGGACAGAGGAAGGGGTGGGTGCTCCGTCTCTCTCGCACCCCCGCGGTGTGCCGCAACGGCCCGCGAGAGCGAGAGAGACGGAGCGCCGCTCGGATTCGGCCCGCCGACTGAGCAGCCAGCCCGCGACGTGTGCTGAAAGGGAAAGTTAAAGATGCCTTGAGCCAGGCAGGACTGAGGGTGGGAGGGAGAGAGAGAGGGAAAGGGGGGGGGGGAGTCGCAACGCTGTGCCGCTGCACTTAGACGGCATAGTCCTAGTTTGTCAAGTGGAAGTCAAACACTGCGTCCCGTCCCTCGACGGCGTCTCCGCCTACGGTCCTACGGGCCTCCGGTCCGGCAGCCGTACTCGGAGACCGGAACGACGGACTGGCAGACGGCTGGGGCTTTTACATTGGGCCGGCCGGCCGTCTGGCTGCCTGCCTGACTTTCTGACTTGCTGCCTGGCTGCCTCGGCGCCAAACCGACCAACGCCGACTCCATGAGGGACTCGTGCCGACTCCTTGACTTGTCGCCGGGACCACGTCAAGAAGTGCGCGAAGCGGAGACTTGGAAGAGACTTCGGACTCGGGGGCGGGCCCTGTCCAAGGAATGTGTTGTTGCGCAACCTGTTTTTCTGACAGCGCGCGTGTGTGTGTGTCATGTTTTGTGGACGCAGAGCGAGACGCAGTGGGTCTGCAGGGACGGCCCCAAGTTAAGCCCCTCGTCCGACACGGTCCTGACGTCCGGGGCGTCCCCCTCCCCCGCGCCACTCTCGGCATCTGTCTCAAGTCGGCGCGGCGGGAGCGGCAACTTGTGCAACAACTTTGGTCGCCGCGCTCGCGAGGCCCAAGGTCGCCAAGGTGCCGTTGAGTCGCTCGACCCGGTCGTTTTCCAGTGGGGGCGCTCCGACGCGCGTCGACGGGGGAACCGTTTTTACGGCCAAGTTTCCAGGGCGTCGTCGCCGCGCTCGTCTCCCCCGGCAGTGCGTCTTCTTCGTCATGTCCGGCCAGACCTAGACAATGGCCCAGACGCGTAAAGCTGCTCCAAGGCGGAGCGGCGGCGCGGCGGGCCGTTGCGGACGGGCCGAGTGGAGGCTGGGGGTTGGGTCGGCCCGTGCGCCCAGGTGGACACTGTGAATAGGATTGTTGTTTGCCGCTCTTTCGAAGTTCCTCGCTTCACAAAAGCAGCGCTCCGGGACTCACGCGAGGGGAAAGAGAGAGAGAGAGAGAGAGAGAGAGAGAGAGAGAGAGAGAGAGAGAGAGAGAGAGAGAGAGAGAGAGAGAGACGGCGGCCCTTTGAGCCCCTCGTCGTCGTGCCGGAACTCGGTGGACACGGTCAGCACGCGGGGGCGGCGCGTGGCCACGCCGTGCCGGCGGCCTCACCGCGGGGCGTGCTTGTCTGTGCGGCCGTCGCGGACCTGGCGGGGCCCCTTGTGGGGCGGCAGGGCCCCGGCAGGGCCTCGACTGGGCCTCGGCCCATTGGATGCGACACACTGAGCCCCCGTCGGGGCGGTGGCTGCGGGGCAGGGCGACCGCGAGGGCAGGGGAGGGGGCCCGCATATGTTCACTTGTCACTGCGGTTTACCACCCATGTCGAGGTAGACGCCACACACGCCCACACACGCACACACACACACACACAGACATGCACAGAGCGCGCGTGTAGGGTGCTAGCACGGTGTGGTGGCCGCGCGAGGTTATTTCGCCTCCAGAAGCTGGCCGCTGCCGCCCCGCCGCGACGTTATGACAATGGGGCCCATGTTGTACGTGAGCCCGCTTGGCGCGAATGGCGCACGCAGCGGCACGCTGCTGGCGTCAGCGGAGCAGTCGTCGCTCTGTCCCTCTCGCACCCCTACGGGACGCCCCATGGGAGCGAGACAGACAGAGACATCGGAATCAGTGTGCGGGCGCGGCAGGGAAGGCTTGCTGCTACACTGCGAGGAGAACGATCGCCGCGCCGCCGCGCCCTGATTTGAATTTAAATAGTTTAACCGCGGCTGCGGCTCGGCTGCCGCACCGCTGCTTAAACAGTCGTGTTTTGGGCCGACTTTAAGGAGCCACTGCGTCTGATCCGATGTGGTATTTCGTACTCCCTCAACGGGCATTTGGTCTTTGGACCTTCCTTTAGCATGCCTTTGTTGCGGAGAATGACTATCTGCCTTTGTTTAGGAGCAGTGTTGGCTCAAAGTTGATCAAAACCGACATTGAAGGCATTTTTGTCCGTTTTGATCAACTTTGAGCCAATACTGCTCCTAAACAAAGGCAGATAATCACTCTCCGCAACAAAGGCATGCTAAAGGAAGGTCCAAAGACCAAATGACCGTTGAGGGAGTACGAGATACCGCCTCGGATCAGACGCAGTGGCTTCTTAAACTCGGCCCAAAACACGATTTTTAAAGGCATTTTTGACCGTTTTGATGAACTTTGAGCCAATACTGCTCCCAAACTAAGGCGCATAATCGCACTCCGTAACAAAGGCATGCTAAAGGCGGGGTCCCGTCCGTGGGGTTGCGAAATTTTTCCTGGGATTCGCGGAAATATTTGGTTACAAATTTGTGGTCGCGAGTCGAAAAAGGTTGAGAACCGCTACTCTAGAGCTTTGGCCGCCTGCACCGGTCTTCTGGCCCACTGTGCGCCGTGGCCCAATTTGAGTGGAGCACTCAACGGAAAGGCTTTCAGCGGATTCGCTGCTCCGGTCGGCCGGCACACTGATTGCGCGCTGTCCCTCTCGCACCTGTGCGGGCCGCCCCACGAGTGCGAGAGAGACAGAGTGACGAAAGCACTTGCAGGTTGGGGGGCTGGCTCGGCCGCGCGCCGCAAAGTGTTTCTCTTTTTATTCAAAATAAACAGCAGCAGCAGCGCCGCTGTGAAAAAAGTTGGCAGTTTCCGCCTCGGCTTTTCCTTGGTAGTGCGCCTCCAATTATCCGCGTGAAACTACTGCTAGGCTGTCGTGGCGGAGGGCATGCTGCCCTCCTGTCTGTCTGTCTGTCAGTCTGTCTGTCTGCCTGTCTTTCTGTCTGTCTGTCGAGGCGAAGGAGCGCGACATCTGCCGCCGCCGAGCCGCGCCGCCGCGGCACTGTCACTGTCGAGCTGCAGACTGATTCCGAGAGTCGTTTTCATCGCTCTGTCTCTCTCGCTCCTACATGGCACGTCCCGTGAGTGCGAGAGAGACGGAGCGACGAAAGCGATTCCCGGACACAGTCCGCCGCAAGGGTGGGTGCCGCGCGCCCCGACCAGGGAGAAGTCCGCGAGGTCGACAAGTTTTACAAAACCTGCCCCAACTCCGCAACTTTGGGGCGCGCGTCGCGAACGTAGGAAACCCGCACCTGCCGAGGGAACCGGAGGCAGGAATTCCTTCACGTTTCGACAATCCGGAGGCATTTTCGCGGTTGGCGGACTACGTTGCCGCCGTGTGTGCGTCTGTCTGTCTGTCTGTCTGTCTGTCTGTCTGTCTGTCTGTCTGTCTGTCCGTCTGTTCACCAGCCGAACTGAAAGGCGTCGGTCTGGCACGGCACTGGAATTTTCCCCCTCTTTTTGGGGCCGAGCCAGTGGTCGCCGGCGAGGGCCTCCGAGCTACTCAAGTGGTTTATTCTCCTTGTTGCTCCTGGCCGCCCCGCCCCGCCCCGCCCCGCGTCCGCACTGCCCGGCTCCTTTCCCTCGGAATCACAAACGTCTGCTCGGTGCGCGCCGCGCGCATTCGTGCCTTTTTTCCCCACCCGTTTGTGTTTCCCTCTTTTTGCGGCTGCTTTATCCGCCCTGTCCGTCCCCACCCTTCCGCGTGCAATCTTGTTACTAAACGAGACGGACAGGCTGCAGCGTGAAAGGGGGGGGGGGAGAGGGGGGGGGTGAAAGATACAGATACGAGTCGCGCCACTGCAGCGCTATGCGTCTTGGGCGTCCGCAGTGCACTCGGCCCGCCGCCTCTGCAAGGCCGCAGAGCCCACTATCGCTCTCTGTCTCACTCGCACTCACGGCCGAGCTGGACTTCCCGGCAGGAATTATTTAGCTGCTCAGGTCAACACAACACTGCACGCGAACGATAGCCATGCATGCGCGCACAGCCCACCACGCCCATACCGACACACGTACACACAGGCGCACGCACAGGCGCATACACCCACACACACGTACATGTACACACACACACACACACACAGACGCGCACGGAGCTGGCATAATGGTCAAACAGTTCCACGGCGGGCTGCGCTGGGCTGCGCTGGGCTGCGCTGGGCTGCGCCATGGCTCCGCGCTCCACCCCGGTTGTTTGCCCTTCGGCCCTGCCCTGCCGTGCCGTGCCCTGCCCTGCCGGTCCGCGGTCCGTACCGGTCCGGCCTCAAGGCCCCCCCCCCCCCATTTTGCCCGGGACCACTGACCCACCTAACTGCCCGTGGACTATGTGGACTGCGGACCACGGATGCAGCGGCAATGCTATTGACCGTGGCCTTTTGCTCTGCTTCAGTCCGCCTTCATGCAAGGCCCAGACCACGCTGAATTGGGAAATACCGAAAATACGTTCCGAAGCTTCTTCGTGAATTTCCGGAGGCTTCGTGTTTCAAATTGAATTCCCTGTATTCTTACCACTTGGCTTTGCAGCGCCTACTGGAAACTCATTCGAAGGAGAAAGTTAGGAAGTTTTTGAGATTTTTCGAAGATTAGAGGACATTTTTTTAAGTTCTCTTTAAGCAATTTTATGAGATATTTTTGATATTTTTTTCAGTGTGACGCGGACCCACTAGTCCTGAAGTGCCTGACCGTCTTCCCTTCGTGGCTGTTGCAGGTGGAGTACTACGGCAGGGAGACGGCGTTCGGCGAGGACGCGGCGCCCACGACGGCGGCCTCGGCGGCCTCGGCGGCGACGCACATCGCGACGTGGCACCTGGCGGCGCGGCGCGTCAACGGCCCCACGCACATGGTGCGCGGCCTGGCGCCCGGCCTCACCTACGTGTTCCTCGTTCGCGCCGAGAACAGCCACGGCCTGTCGCCGCCCTCCAACCTGTCCGAGCCCGTGGCCCTGGGCACGCTCGACGCCATGGCCAGCGGCGCGGCGGACACCTCCAACGACGTGGACGCCGACCTGGAGGAGGCCCGCGACAGCCTGCTGACGGACCAGGCCGTGCGCCTGCTCGACGCCGCGCCCAACAGCTCCACCTCCGTGCGCCTCAGCTGGGAGGTGAGTGAACCAGTCGAGGAACGGAGCAAGAGTCGGGTATGGAGTACACGGTGAGCGACAGCGCCGTGTGGGTAGGCAATTCATTCCACGGCAGCACGCCGCGTTGCCTACCCGCGGATCGCAGGCGCACAGCGGGCCAGAAGACCGCTGGACGCCTTTCCAGTTGGGGGTTAAGTCCGTGGGTTCGATTCCCGCCCAGGCGCGGTCGGGGCTCCTTTTTTCGCGGCACGTTCAGGGACTCGATTTGGCGCGCGCCCTCTCCGACTCCACATCCACGACCTCCTTGTGCAACAACTGCACCTCCGGCCTCGCGCCGCCCCGCTGAACGCCCCGACGCTCCACAGCCGTCGAGGCGGCAACGCGGCGAGGCTGCGAACCTCGGTTCCGGTTCCGCCTCGGTTCCGCCCGGGTTCCGGGCCGCCTTTCCTGCCAACCGGGAGCCCCGGCACTCGGCGAAGGCCCGGCCCACAGTGGGCCAGAAGACCGGTGGAGGCGGCCAAAACTCCAGACGCGTTTTGAGCTCCAGAGTCGCTAAACGGGACTCGAATCGAACGTGTGACCCCATCAATGGATTCCGCGTTCGGAGAGCAGTCCATTGGTGGGGTCACACGTTCGTTTCGAGGCCTGTTTAGTGACTCTGGAGCTCAAAACGCGTCTAGAGTTTTAGCCGCCTCCACCGGTCTTCTGACCCACTGTGGGGCACCACCACACTGGCAGCGCACAGCAGCGCGGCGGGGATATCTCGTTTCCCGCCTCGAGGAGCGATAGAGAACGGTTCCGCGAAACACCGGCCAAACGGAGGGGGAGGGGGAGGGCTACTTTGCATGCTGCGCTCCCCGGAACAGTGCTTGCTCTGGTTGCTCCGCGCTCTGCGTTCCGCGCCCGGGGTCCCTCGGACGGCCCTGAGGTGTGCTGAGCGGCGGCGCACACACACCGACTCGGCCACACACACACACACCACACACACACACACACACACACACACACAGAGCGCACGCAGGCACGCCATACCCCATCCTTTCACGGTTTATCATACGCCATCACAATCCCTGGCCGTCTCGGAGTCTCGGGGGGACGATTCAATCCGTGCCCGGCGGCTCGGCTCGGCTCGGCACGGCTCGGCTCGGCCCTGCTCGCTCCCGGGCCGCAGCTCGGCTCGAACGGAGCACGAAAGTGCCGGAAAGAAGGTAAGGCGAGAGATAACGCGACGAGTATCGCCTTGCTGCTCTTGCCTTGCCCTTCTCTCTCTCTCTCTCTCTCTCTCTCTCTCTCTCTCTCTCTCTCTCTCTCTCTCCAATGTCCTCCAGCGGTGGCGGTAAATGAGCCTGTAGTTGTCCTGGCAGACCAACAAGCCGGGGTTTGCGATTCGGGCCGTGGCCTTGGTAGCCTCACCGCGGACACCTTGCGCGGCGGTCGGCAGCACAACGGCCTAGCTTCAGCTTCCCCGGGAGTCCCCGCGCCGGTTTTATCGCTGTTTTCTGCCTTGCCGTGTGTTTGTGTGTGCGCGCGTGCGTGTGTGTGTGAGGTTGCGCGCGCGCGCGTGTGCGTGTCTGGCACGGAGCCGCCTTTATCTCTATCCCGCTGTTTGGACACGGCCTGCCGAGGTGGCCGAGGCCGGGGCGCAGGCCGGGGCGCGCGCACGAAGACAACCCCTCCTCTGGGGCGGTCTAGCCTGAAAGCCTCCAGGCGGCCTCGGATAGCGTGAATACGGTGCGATGCGGCGCCGAGGCCAGCCCGCCGCAAATCAGTAGGAATCGCTGGCGAGCGAGCGAGAGAGATAGAGAAGGGGGGGGGGGGGGGGGGGGAACAAACGTAGCGTGATGACGCGTGATGGCGCGCGTGACGATCCGTGACGAAGGGCGCGCGAACCGTTCGGGAAAAGGGCGCTCATCTGATGTTCGACGCTTCTTTTTTTTTCGTCCCGATGGCCAATTATTTGTTGGGCTTACACTCAATTAATATTCGACGGAGTTGTCGGTCCGCTCCGTCGTGAAACCTCGACAGTATGACGTCGAGCGCCGGGTTCCGGGTTCGGGGTTCGGGGTTCGGGTTCGACTCCCCGCTGCTATTCCGTCTAACTCCCTCGAAGCTGAGAGGCTTGGAGGGCTGCTCGATCATCCATATCCGCTGCTATCTCAACTCCAGCTGGGGGCTCCTCCCGGCTGGACGTCGCTCGCTCTCTCTCTCTCTCTGTCCCTCTCCCTCTCTCGCAGTCATGGCGTGCTCCGTGAGGATGCGAGAGAGACGTACTGCCCGGACCTCCCGCTCGGAATCGGCCTGCTGGGCCTGGCCGAGCGGAGAGACGAACGGCCGAACTGGCCGGACGCCCCGCCGCGCCCGCCCGCCCCCCCCCCCCCCCGCCCCGCCCCGCCCCGCCCCGCCCGCCCCCCCCGCCCCGCCCCCCCGCGCCCCGCCGCGCGCACGGGGCGGCCGACCGGTCAGCGGACAAGAAGGGTGGACCATAAAAAGTTTGGAATGAGTTTCTAACCCGCAATAATAGTTATCAGATAAGGGCCGGATACGGGCGGGGCTTCGCCGGCGCGGCCAGAGCCTGCTGGAACAGAAGGAGGCCGGGGGGCGTAAAATAATTTATATCACAAGTTTGACCACTCAGCTGGACAAATAAAGGGGCGGGGGCATGCCCTGCGCTGCGAGGAGGCTGGCGCACATGCTCAGATGAGAGGGTCGTAAAGTTTTTACATCCGGCGGCATCTGGTACCCGAAGCAACCCGCGGAGATTGACCCGAGGGCGTCGCAGCAGCATATGTGACGCCGCATCTGCAGGAGACCGGAGGAGGCGGCCAAAAGTCGAGACGCGTTTTGAGCTCCAGAGTCGCTAAACAGGACTCGAACCGAACGTGTGACTTCACCAATGGATTCCGCGTTCGGAGACCAATCCATTGGTGGGATCACACGGTCGGCTCGAGTCCCATTTAGCGACTCTGGAGCTCAAAAACGCGTCATGAGTCTTGGCCGCCGGCGCCGGTCATCTGGCCCACTGCGCGCGCTCACCGAGACCGTCCCTCTGCTTGCAGATCCTCAGCCCCGCCCACGTGGAGGGCCTGGTGCTGCACTGGCGGCCCATCCTGGCGGACGACGCGGTGCACGTGGGCCCGGACCTGGGGCACGACGCCGGCTACGTGCCCACGGAGCACGCCGACGAGGACACCCCGGCCGGCGTCACCAGCGGCGCGAGCGGCGGCAGCGGACGCGGGAAGGCCGCCGGGGACGCCGTCGGCGGCCCCGGGTCCGTGACGGTGCTGCAGGCCGGCAAGGCCTCCGGCTTCCTCGTCATCTCGCTGCGCCCCTACACCACCTACACCTTCTTCGCCGTGCCCTTCTACCGCGGCGTCACCGGACAGCCGTCCAACTCCAAGTCGGCCACCACCCTGGAGGACGGTAAGTCGGCGGCCTCATTAAATACGTGTTCCAGATTGAAATCCCGGCGCGGGGATTGACGGTGTGGTCCGTGACACGGGCGATCCGTCACGGCCGCCAAGGCCCCGGCCGTGGCCCCGTACCCTGCTGCCCGGCCTGACCCGGCCTCTCTCGCACGACCCTGCAGGGACGCGCCCGGCCCTCCCTTGCCTTTCAAGCACACGGCAACCAATCAGAGGCACAGTCCCTCCCTCAAACATTGCCGTCATCAAGGCCCGCCGGCCTGTCTCTCTCTCGCACGCCTGCGTGACGGGACAGACGCCTGCCGGCCCGCCGGCCCACCGGCCCGCCTTGCGCCCCACCCTGCCTTTCAGCCCTTGAGACCGTCTTCTCGTTATCACAAAGGAAATGCAAATGCCCTAAAATAATTATACGATTCTCTGGCGGGATTTAATGTGCATTATCTAATTGCAATACGGTACTGGGCGCGTCCGCGGATCGCGATAAGCGTCTTGCTTTATGGCCGACACGTAGGGCGTGCGGAAGGTGGCAGGCGCGCCGCCGTGATCCGCACAGTGGGCCAGAAGACCGGTGGAGGCAGTCCAAATCCTGAACGCGTTTTGAGCTCTAGCGTCGCTAAATTGGACCCGAACCGAACGTGTGACCCCACCAATGGATTGCTCTCCGAACGAGGAATCCATTGGTGGGGCACACGTTCAGGTCGAGGCATGTTTAGCGACTCTGGAGCTCAAAATGCGTGTAAAATCTTGACCGCCTCCACCGGTCTTCTGGCCCACTGTGATCCGTCACTCTGTCTCTCTCGCACCCCTGCGGGCCGTGCCACGGGTGCGAGAGAGACGGAGCATTCATTCGCGGAATTTACTCTGCTGTGTCGCTTCGTGGAAACGTCATTCTCGGGACGCTGTTGCGAGGCTCCGCTCCAAAGGGAATATGGCGACGGACTGGCGCACTGTCGGACGCCCTGTCCCGTTCCATTTGGTCCTCTCGACCTGGCGCGGCCACCCGCCCGCCCGCCCCACCAGGCGGCAGCCAGAGCTTTAGCATTCGCCAAACGATATGAGGGAACGCAGCGCAACCTGTTCTGGCTCGGCCGGCAGGCCGGCTCGGCTCGGTCCCCGAGAGAAACTCAATACAGTAATGGGCAAACAACATTAAAATCTAGTCCTACGGGTCCGCCCCGCCCCGCCCCGCCCCGCCCCGCCCCGCCCCGCCCCCGCCCCGCCCACCATCCCCGCCCCCGGGAGTCGAGGGCACTACACTGAGGCCCCCGCCGCCCCTCGGGGGCCCTCGGAGGGGTGGGGGGCACAGAGACCCCTGTCAAGTGGACGGCATCCGCAGGGATGAATCTGCGTGCAGCTGTCCCGCTGCCTCTCTGGAGTACCCCCCCCCCCCCCTTCCCCCAGCCGTGTCCGCTTGCCTTCATTTCGTGTCGCGTTGTTTTTTAAATGCCGCTCTATGACGAGCTCTTTATCCCACTTCCGGACGCTTCAATTAAAATTACATTTCCCCCTCCCCCGGTGGCTATTTTCTTGTTTTTTTGGGTTTTTTTAGACGTTGCTTTAAACTCTTGCCTCGGACGACCAGAGGACTTCTCGTCTTTCATGGTACCATCATTCCAGCAATGCAGAGCCAGCTGTGTCACAAATTCCTCCAAAGTTTACCCAAATTCAAAGCTAAACGCATTCGATTTATTTTAATTCGCAATGATGAAGTCCTATTATTTTTTTCGCCGGCTGACGTGAAAATTCTAAACGGGTCTTCATTTCGCCAATTAGGAGAAGGGGGTCCGGAGGCCCCTCTAGCGGGCTGACGCCGCGCGATGTCGCTCCGTCTCTCTCGCACTCACGGGACGTCCCGCAATAGTGCGAGAGAGACGGAACTATTCGGATGCAGCCGCTCCGGCCGGCCTGTGTACGGATGGCCTTAATGGAGCCTATTTCCACGCGGCCTCTAATTTTCCTTTGTCACTGAAAGAGATGACTGAGCAGCCGAAAGAAAAGCGGAAAAACGCAGAAAGGGACACGAGCTTCTTGAATAAAGGGAGAGGTCACGGCGGCTCCCGTCTGTCTGCCTGTCTGTCCGTCCGTCTGTCTGTCTGTTCGTCCACTCGACTCATTGGCTATACGATCCCCGAAAGGTACCAACTCACCGGTCCGTCTTTGTCCAGGCCCCATTGTCCCGTTCCACGTCGCGACTACCGGGAAGAGGTCCTGGAAAAGCCCTTTCGCCCTGCGCCACCGAGACGGACTGCCATGCTGGTACACTCTGAATTGAGTGTCCTTTCTCGTTCTATAGCGCGGCCAGGCCGATGATAACTGTACCGTAAACCCGCTCCAGATTCCTCGGTTTTATCGGGTTCCACGTTATTTTCAGGTTCCTCGGTTTTTTCGGGTTCCTTGGTTTTTCCGTTTTTTTTTTTTGGGGGGGGGGGGATTTTGGGTTTTCGTGTTCCTCCTAGACGGCGCGGGTTGCTTTTGGCAGTGTGGGACGAAGCTTACGCGCCACTAAGACCCCCTGGCGGGCGGCAGCCTGGCGGCAGCGGGCCGAGCAGCGGGGGCCACGAGTAGGTAGGGCAGCTAGGGGCGGCCAGGGCGGCCGGGGCGGCGGGGGACCGGGACCTGAATGCGAAATAATTACAAAGTAACGTCTTGATTCGGTCGAGGAGGGTGCCAACGCCACTGGGTGAAAGGAGAGAGAGAGAGAGAGAGAGAGAGAGAGAGAGAGAGAGAGAAAGCGAAAGGCTGTCGGCAGAGCAATGAGTGACGTGAACTCATTCGCCGGAACGTGCCCGGATTGTTTGATCGACTGTCCGTTAGCCGGGCCGGCCTCTCCTTTACCGCGGGGATCCAACACACTTGACAGCGGAGCCGCTTAATCGACCCGACGAGCCAAGAAGAAGAAGGAGGAGGAGAAGGAGGAGAGGAAGAAGGAGGGGAAGCATCAATATTCCGTGTGTAACGGCAGCGCGCCGCCTGCGAGCCGCGGGGTAGGCAACATGCCGTGCAGCCGTGAAACGGATGGCCTACCCGCACGGCGCTCCCGCCGGTCTTCTGGCCCACAGTGTGCCGCCCGCAACGCGGCGTGTAGCCGTGCATTGGATTGCCTACCCTCGCGGCGCTCAGGCCGGCCACTTCGCCCTGCCGCCTCTGCTGCAGAACAAAGATTGCATTTTACTGGAGGCAAGAGAAGAGAAAAAAGTAATGGTCGTCTTGACGAACGAGACGCCGTTTGCGTCATATTTCCATTCTAATTCCAGCGGTTCTCCATGATTTATGCCTACCGTTTACGAGATGATCTGGCAGCCCCTCCGGTTCGGCCCTGGAAGCCCTGGAACTGGAAAAACAAAGCGCGCTCCAGGGAAGCCGAAGAGTCGCTCCGTCTCTCTCGCTCCGCGACGGTGCGTCCCGCGAGTGCGACGGAGACGGAGCGACGACACGTGACTAATGGTGGCCAATCCGGGGGAAGGATTAGCGGCCGTCTTAATGAGAGATCACGCGACTGGCGCACAAAGGGCCAAGGTCCTCGCGGGTCCTCGCGGGTCCTTGCAGGGACGCGCGTTATTAGCATAATCTAATAAATCCGAGACAAAAGGTGTGTGCTCGAGGAAAGGGGGACGCTGAAAAAGATGAAAGAAACGGAATGCGGGGAGGAGACGAAGAAGGAGGAGGGTGAGGGGGGGGCGAGGCGGCAGATTTATTCAAATGAAATCACCTCGCCAAGCGACGCCTCCCAAAGCGCGAGCCGCGGGCCCGTGAGACGGGGCCTTCTAATTGGTGGCGCCCGTTGCATTTCCCTTCGTTTGCCGACACTTTTACACGCCCCAATTTACAAGTAATTTTTGTTGCGGGCATTGTTTTTTCCTTCGGCCCCGTCCCACAGTGGGCCAGAAGGCCGTGGCGGTGGACAAAACTCCAGACGCATTTTGAGCTCCATAGTCGCTAAATGAGGCGGTCTTCTGGCCCACTGTGTGGCCCCCCTGCCTGCCTGCCTGGCTGCCGCCTTGGGGCTTGCGGCGCGTGCGGTGTGCTTACCTCTGGCTAATGTAGGAGCGCTAAAAGCCGCAACGATTCCCATGCATCATGCCGAATTGAAACTGAACGCGCTCGGAATGTGCGGCTTAATGCGAGCGAGCTCGGCCCCAGATGCTGCGCGCGGTCTGGCCGCCAGCTGTGCTTCGGGTGGCTGGGGATGCGGGACAACCCGGTGGCCGTGTGGTTAGCGACGTCGGGTTCGCGGTCTGAGAATCGCGGGTTCAAGTCCCCAGCAACTTTCTTTTTTTTCCTGCCTTGCTTGTAGTGCTGGTGCGTAAGAACGCACACAGAACGATGTCCAAGTTGGGGACAAGTGCACCTGCTCTGCCTCTGTCCATTTCTCTTCCGGTTTTTCAAACACCGTCCCCGGAGGCCGTTTTGTCGGTGGCTCCGCGCGCCCCGGCCTGACCCCGGCGAGACGGTGTTTACCTTTCCGCTGCCATCCCGGGAGAGAGAGAGAGAGAGAGAGAGAGAGAGAGAGAGAGAGAGAGAGAGAGAGAGAGAGAGAGAGAGAGAGAGAGAGAGAGAGAGAGAGCAAAGGGCGAGTGGTTCCCGGGACAGGACAGGACGTCGCGTCATCTCCGCAGCGAGCCAAGCGGGCGCAGACAGGCAGCAAGCCCCGCCAAATACAGTGTGCGGCCCGCGCCATGCTAGACATGATTTATCGGCGAGTTTGGATAGGACCCCGCGGGGGGATGCTCCATTTTTCATCCGCATCGCGACACGGTTTATTTAAGGAAGCAAACTAGCGCCTTTGCGCTTCGGCTGAGCCCGGGAATGCCGCCCTGTCTGCTCGGGGTTTATCTGCTCACTGTGAAATTCCACAGTCCCACAACAACCTCCACCTTGGTGGTTTATCAACGACCTTGACTAAAGTGCTGCTGTCTGCCGGTTGCAGTGCCCACGGAGCCGCCGAGGAACGTCGACGCCATCCTCATCAACTCCACCGTGGTGTACATCAAGTGGGACCCGCCGCCGGGCCCCGCCGTCAACGGGGAGCTCACGGTGTATCAGGTGAGTGGTCCACCAAGCCCTCGCCTTCAAAGGGAGGGTCAAGAGCTGCTCAGTCGACGGCGGCCTCTGGACTGATTCGGAGGGTCGCTTTCGCCGCTGTGTCTCTCTCGCACCCTCACGGGACGCCCCATGAGTGCGAGAGAGACAGAGCGACGAAAGCGACTCTCAGAATCCGTCTGCCACCGCACGGCGCGGACAGAACGGTGTATGTCACATAGGGAGCTACTGAGACACGCTTCATGTCGCGCAATGTGAGCT